CGCCAAGGAAGCCGCCGACATGGTCTTGCTCGACAACAACTTCTCGTCCATCCTGATTGGTATTGAGAACGGTCGCCTTGTCTTTGAGAACCTGAAGAAGGTGCTTGTCTATCTGCTACCCGCTGGATCATTCTCCGAGTTCATGCCTATGTTCCTGAACATGGTGCTCGGTATCCCGCTGCCACTATCGGTTATTCTCATGATCGTTATTTGCATGCTCACCGATGTGTGGGCCAGTGTCTCACTCATGTACGAAGCGCCAGAGAACGATATCATGTATCGTGCTCCACGCAACCCGAAGCGCGACCACCTGGTCGATCTCAAGTTCTTCTTCCATGCTTACGGATTCATGGGTGTCATGCAGACCGTCATTGCGCACCTGGTCTACTTCATCTTCATGTACTGGAAGGGTGGGTTCTCGCCGAGCCAGCTGTTCCTGGCGTTTGACAAGTGGACAATCGGACCATATCACGGCCACGATACGGCTGAGCTCGCTAACCTGCTCAGCACTGGCCAGTGTGTGTACTTTATCACCCTGGTCATTTTGCAATGGGGCAATATGTTTGCGACCCGTACCCGCCGTCTCAGTGTCTTCCAGCAGAACCCGTTCTGGGGTCCGACCAAGAACTTGAGGCTTCCGCTTACTATTCCAGTCACCCTTGGTGTCGTCTTCTTGTTCTGCTACGTGCCCGCATTCCAGACGGTGTTCGGCACTTCCTCGATCCCTGCTCCTTTCTACTTTATCCCGATCCCCTTCGCCATTTTGATCCTCTGCGTTGATGAGCTGCGCAAGTACTGGGTGCGTACTCACCCCAGCAGCTTCCTTGCCAGGTGGGCTTGGTAAGCCTGCTCCCTTTCCAGAGCCGGCGTGCCTTTTGCACTACCTGTTTTTTCATGACGTAACACTCCTAGTTTACTAGTGCATTTAATAAATCATCCAGAATTAGACATATCACGTCCATGCCTCTGGCGAGTACAGTAGTCGATAAAACATCGTCTCCACCGTAATGTTTCAAAAATATTAACCTCCCCCAGATATGCGTGGAGAACATTATCACTGCGTGGCCAAGTGGTTGTTGCAGGTGAGGAATACCTTGCAAGTCTTACCTTTTTCGGAGTTTCTACACTTTTCTCCTCTATTAACCTGCATGTTCCAAATCTCTTGTCCTTTGTCACGTATTTGCCTCCATATATACAATTTCAATATTTGACCACCCAAGAACAATGCATGTGGCTACTTATTTCGCAGCTACTCTGCTGGTAGTCAGCTGCACAGTGCTGGCTGATGTTCTAAAGTATGAGCATACACCACTGCCCAACTGTCGCCGAGAGGTTATGCAGGAGAACCTACCTACACTAGCCAACAAAATACAGTTACACACCTTGTCGCCTGAGGATACCAAAGAGATGCTGGCAAGCGGAAAGCTTGGCGATACCTCAAAACGGCGGGCGCATATCAGGGCGCGCAAGATGGGAGATCCTCCAATGTTTACTCGAACACTTCGCCCAATATACAACAAGCCGCCCTAACTTGATATGTTTGATTCATATGGCAACTAAATACAAATATGGATTAATTAATATACAGTTAAAATATGGAGGGTATATAGCAACTCGAATCATGGCAGCCGGAATTCAGAGAGTGTCTGAGCCATGTGTGCTAACGAGACAGCCAGCTTCTGCTTTTCTGGAGTTGGAATTGCGTGGATATCGGTCTCTATGAGGTCAAGTTCGCTGCGTACCTTGGCTATCTATATCAGACATTAATGGCAGTACATAGTTAGTGGGTGCAAAGAGCTGCTGGATGCTATGCTTGAGCAGACAGAACTGCAGCCATTAATCATGATACTTACTTCTTCAAGCATCAGCAAGCCGGCATCATGACCGTTGAATTGCGTGGCTATTGCCGAGTGTTCTGGAAAACCAATTGGAGGATAGCTTTGGATGCCGGGCTGTGGTGGTGGGTAGCAAACAACCTCAGGCTCCTTGCCCTTGTTAGAAAGAGCCAGGCTGTGGTTGTGTTAATACAGGTCCCTCGTATGCACACAAGGACTGACCGATCGAATATGGAGTTATTGGCGATGACGATTCGGCTTCGCTCTTTGCTGTATATGTCAGTGGCTTATACAGGGCCATAGGGTCGTCTAACAGCATTTCCAATTTGTGCTTCGACGGTGACACAGTCGGCTCTGATTTCTGGTGGACAGCAGAGTGCCGTCTTTTGATAGTGCCAGCCTCGCTGGCCGAGCTAGGGGGGCGGGGAAGCGGAAGATGGTGTGTGCCTGTGTCAGAAGCTTGGATGCTCCGGTGCTGGCTGTTGGCTAGGGTCCCAATAGGCGACTGTGGTGTTGCTGGGCGAATACGTGGTACGGAATCTCTATGGACTCGCGGCTGCTTGGCACGGAAAACCAGAACTTCGTAATCTCTCTGTGATCGGCGCCGTGGGATGACCTCGTCGGTGAGCTGCTTTCGCGACTTGTCCTCATAGCCGCGCTTTATTCGGTCAATATTGGCGGGAATAAAGACCAGCTCCTGTGTAGCTGTGGCAGGGGTCGTTGCTGCCGATTCTGGCTGCTCGGTGGATGCCGGTCGTGCATTCCCGTGGCCAGCTGACAACGCATCCACGGAAAAACCGGCAGCAGAATAGCCAACCTGTGCTGCATGGAGCGGCGCACCCATTGTTGCCGGGGTGGGAGCTGCGACTTTGCGGCTGAGGGGCCGCATGGCTTATGTGTGCTGCTTCCGTGCTGAACTGTCCAGGGTGAATCAGTGGATACTGCACTGGTATTCCCGGTGAGGGGTGGTGTTGTTGGTGATGTAGATATGTAGGCGCAGGCGGGTAGCTATCGGTGTGCGGTGGAGGTAATGCGTACTGTTGCTGAGACACGCTGTACTGCCTTGCACCACTTGCGCAGCCATCATCTCCTGCTGGCTGCTGCTTCCGCTGCTGCTTCTTGTCTGAATCCTGTTCGGCCATGGCCGAGACGAGACGTAGTGCGCGTTGGTTGAAGGCGTTGTGTGCGCGACACACCAGACAAAGAGTATGCTAATAGTGATAATGCAGCTTCGTTTAAGGGGAGAGACAGTACTCTTGTGCTAAAAATAAGTGTACGAAAATCAGAAAATGGGAAACAGAAGTGGAACAGGAAGGCTGCCAACTGGTCGCTGACATCCTACATGATGGTGGATACATGTAGCTGGCATCTGCCTTTTTTTACCAGGCTGCCTAATTCGACAATGGCTCTGACACAGGACAAGCAGAGAATGCTGCATGGGTCTGGGATCAAGTAGCCGATGGCTGATCGTTCCTAAAAAAAGCAGAGTTTGCAAGGGTGCTAGCATCGCTCTGCCCTCTGGCTATAGCACCAAAGCTTGGACTCGCTACAGGGGACTGTTTGCGATAAAAAGAGGCTGCCGCTCGACGCAGTAAATGGTCTACAGATGCATCAGCCATCACAAGGGCCGCTGCCGTGGCCTGACCAACCAGAACAAAACTATGATCTATCGCAATAGTAGCCCAGCGCCAGAACTGGTGATTTTCGGGGATAAAAAAATTTTGAGGCTGGGGTAGGGAGTGGGCTTAGCTGCTCACGCTCATAATGCGGTATCGAGCGAGTGTGGGAGGCAAGGGCTCGCTCTTTTCGCTTTTGCTTCCTGCTTGCATTTTTTGTTTTCATTTTGTGTACTCTTTCGTGTCGTCGAACCTTTCCGCACCTCAAAGAATATCTCCCTCTGAGAAGACCCAGTCTGCCGAAACCTTGCCCATACCAGGGGAGCAGTGCAGACATTTGGTTTCTTTTGCTGTTGCCGACACTTCTCTTCCATCCCACACCAGCTATATCAAGCTGAAAAAGTATCTCCTGAATTGTATCAACGAGGCGGCGCACAGCCCTAGCATTCAAACCCTATATCCTGTATCTTGCGCCTCGCTTTTGACACGCACCCAGTGCCCACTAGGTGCCAGCAACCAAAGTAGACGAAGCCTATCTCGACATACACACTTTCCCCACACTCAGCCGGTGTCAGAAAAAGGTTATTTTCACCCTTCGTGTACTGCGAATCACAAGATCTGCAACGTGTCCCACCACCAGGAGTCACATTCTCGCTTTTGCCAGGCAGCACCCACTATTAAGCGAGACTGAGGAAAAGTTGAATTGTTATCATGCCGTTCAGGAATGAGCATCCATCAAGTGTTGGTGGCAATACGCACCGCTTCAGCCCCTACTCGTCCGAAGGTAGGGGCTATCGTGAACACGGCCCAGCATATGGAAAGTACAACGAGAACGGCTCTGGCCGCGGCAGAGGCAGGAGCCGTGGTAGAGGCCGTGGCCGTGGCCGTGGGCATGTTGGGATATCATGGCAATAGCTGGCATAGTGGCCCGAGGTATGACTCTAACGACTTCAATGGATATGACGGAGATGAGCGCCCAGCCCCACATGCCAATGTCAATGGGTTTTACGACAGCATGGAATACCAGGTTTAATGACGGCAGTACTGCCCGAGGCAGCGATGCTGATCATGGGCTGGTGTCAGCACCACAGTTCTCGAGCACCACCAACGATGGTTACGATCCATTCCACCCTTCCGCAATCAGCAGTGATGGGTGGCGAAGCAGACCCAACAGGTAAATCACACTTTAGCGACCAGCAAACCCGCATCCAGCAGTACTTGCTGGTGGCGGATCCGCCTGTTTGTTGTTTCGCAATTATGAAAAGCAAGTTTGGGGTGATGCTTGTTGGTTGTGAGGACAATGCAGCCTTCTTTGCATTGTCAGCTAAGCATGGCATCAACTATGTGTGTTTATTGACCAGGTGATGCAGCGTTGGAGCCTGGTATATTCGCAGTATAAAGTGGCAGCGGTTCGATGCACTAAGACAAACAGCATACCTATGTAGAATACGGCAATGCAAGGGGATACCACCAGCACTGGGGCAACATAGGCCGACAGTCGTGGCAGCGACCACTCTCGCAGCAGCAGCAGGCATGGCGACTATGACTAGGTCAGGATGGCATTGACGGAGGAATGTATGAACCTCAGATGCTTCCTGGCCGCGGGCGAGGTCGCGGGCGGGGCCGAGGTTGGGGTCGTGGGCGTGGGCGCGGGCGCGGGTTTGGCGCCAGTCACGACTACACCCATGGCTACAGACCACCAGTCTACCGAAAGACCATGGCAGCAGCTGGACGGTATGGAGATGCTCCTGGCAAGTACCGCCTGGAGGTCCCGCCGCCGCCCAAGCACGGAGTTTGTCTCACGCACCCTTTTTTATCTCTGTTCCTCAGGACACCATCATAAGCGGCAGTGATATCCATGACCAACTTTGCAAAGTACGGCGAGATTGCCGATATATTTGATGCCTCTATCAGGCAGAAGGGGATATGCTACGTCAGTTACTATGATTCGCGCTGTGCGCTCGAAGCTCTGAAAGAGAATTACAATACCATCAGGATTGGCCATGCCACGGTTACTGTTGTCCGTCCGATCTGCGGCCGGGCTCCGACAAGCGCTGCCCGGCAGCCAACGACCGCCAGGCCACGGTCCTGTTTTCGCTGGTCAGCCCCAAGGAGTCGTTCCAGGACAAGGACAAGGCGTACTTTGAGCGGTTCGGCAATGTCGTATCGTTTTTCCCGTATCGTGGCCGCCAATTTGAGTACGTGGTAGAGTACTATGACTCGCGCAGTGCCTATCATGCCGCCATGTCGTGCAACCGCCTGCAGTTCCATGGCGGCACCATGCATACCACCTTCCTCTGGGACGGGTCGACTGAGGGCTCCGTTGTGTACGACAAAGCGTACTTTGATAGGCTGTGCGGAGGCAGCAATGATGGTGCCGCGAGTTTCTCGATGCTGTCTGGGCCCAGTGGCCAAGGAAAGCCCAAGGAATGGAACATAGACTATGGCGTCAGTAGTGGCTGGAGCGCCGGCCCGCAGGTAAGGCAGAGGCCAAATACCGGCGATAATCCTTTGGCAGCCCAGACACTAAAGCGCAGTGCAGAAAGCGCTCCCCAGTGGCCAGCAGTCGAAGAAGAAATGGGCACCAATGCATCCACAGCCATCATACGGCTTCCAATGTCGGAGGCCGGGATGCCAGCACCTACGGGTTTTAACAGGTTCGATGGCAGGCATGCAGACAAAGAGAGCTAGGGTTGAAGGAGAGTGCCGAAATTTCCAGTTTGCCAGAGACCAGGACTGCTTCCTGTGTCCCCTGCTGCAGCAGGTCTGCCGGGTCTCACCACTGCGCCTCGCCCATTAGCCATTCCTGCAGTCAGCAATCTCTTCACGCCTGCACCCAGCCAGGGCTCTGGTTCAGAACACTCGACAGAGAATTCACCGCATAGCCAGAAGCATGATGCTGCCAAGTCCTGGATGCGTATGTCGCCAACATCAATGCGCCCCCCTGATGGCAAGCCGATCACAACCACGTCAGCCAGTAGCGCGTTGGCGCTGTGCCAGATATAAGCGCGGCGGTGGCCAGGATATCCAGTGATCCAAAGTTGCAGCAAGACGCGATCACGGTGGGGCGGATTCTACAGCAGCACCAGATGCAGTCGGGTCTTTTGCTGAGCAGCTCAGCGATATCCCCGCCAATGTCGGCCTCGCTACTGTCATACTCGCAGGCGCAGACCATGCCGCAGACCGCTCCGCCACTGCAGGCGTGGGGCTCCTCGCCGTCGCTGTCGCTGGAAAACTTTGTGTCGCCGGTGCCTCCCATGGCCAGAAGTACCACTGGCATCATGAACGCAATCGCCTGCGACCAGCACGTTCTTGAGCCAGCACAGAGAGCTTCTTGGCCAACAAAACTGCACACCTGCTGATCTGCAGCCCCTCAAGGCTCCGACGACGGCGCCAAGTGCCCAGCACCACGAGCGGCAACAGTAGTGGTGTGGAAAACCTCAACGCAGTTCTGGAAAAGCTCCAGGCCCTTCAGCGCCCCAAGCTTTCCGAAAGTAGGAACAGCAGCAGCCTTAAACAACAGCAACCATTAAGTACATGTAACCTTCTCACATATCCTTATCGTCTCTATATCAACATCAGCACAAGGCATCTGCTATAAGGCTCGTGTCTATTTTGCTTTTGATGCACTCGCAAGTGTTGCATTCCACTGAACAAGACATGGTGGAGAGTATAATGAAATAATCCTACCACCAGAAAGGGCTGAATGCCAGGCAACAAACTTAGAAGCGGAGCTTGGTGAAGAACCACTTGTTCTTGCCAGCGGTGTAGCGCTGCTGCAGGCTGTTACGGACGGCCTTCTTGGCGGCGGTACGCTGCGAGGGCTCGGAGAAGGTCTCGGCGGTAACGGCAGCCTTGATCTCCTCAAGCTCGAGGCTGTAACGGGTGGGCATCAGGTGGGCGTAGTTGACAACCTTGATGAAGGGCTTGACGTGCGAGCGCGACGCAACCTTCTTCTTGTCCATCGACTTGGTCACCTTGAGCGGGTAGCGCTCAATACCGGCAACGATCGCGTGGCCGTAGGGCGCTCCTTGGTGCCCCTCATCGACGTTCTTAACGATCACGGCCTTCTTACCCGGCGTAGCGACCCTGGAGGATAATAACAACCTACAATGCAGTGTGCGCTGGATTTAGTTTGGCGTTCGAGGAGAGGTGCTGCTTGGCCAATGCTTCTACTGAGCGGCAGCGGCCTTCTGTGAAAGCGTGCGTGCGTGCGCGTTGCAGGCGGATTTGGTGCTGGGCGAATTCTCATGGCGGTGAGCAATTTCGAAACCTCCTGTCTTTGAAATTCCCCATCCCGCAATGCATTCTCTTCCCGCTTATCCATCCGACGCGCGCTTCTCTGCGCCTTTTTTATGATCGATTCGCCAGCGCCAATATCCGTGCCCATGATCGATTTCACTCTTTTCCGTACCTTCCCGTTCTTCAAAAACTTGGGCATCTTGGCAACGTCGTATTATTTGAAAATGGATACGAGGAACTAAGTTTGAAAAGAAAGAAGCCCGTATTTCGCCGTGTACATCGCCAACCTATGGCGTGGCCGGGCAACCTGCCGTCGTTTTTGGGCCGAGAAATGCAGCAAGATCGCAGAAAAGAGTACAAGAATTCCAGGATCTGATTTATTTCTGATCGGACGGCTGATCATGCGATCACGGTAGTACTGCAGCTCGCGCAGGCTCTCCTGGATGTCGTCGAGCGCACGGTGGCCAAACTTCTTGCGCACGCCCGGCAGCAGATCGGGCCGCCAGCGCTTGGCCAGCTCGTTCAGCGAACTGACGTCGACGTTGCGGAAGTGCAGATGTCCGTGCAAGATCGGCATGTACGCGCTGAGAAACCTGCGGTCGAACCCGACGTTGTTGCCTGCCAATATCGCCCGATTCGGCTCCGGGCAGTGCTTGGTGACCAGATCAAGCATCTGCTGTTCGGCGGAGGCCAAGGTCAGTTCGACTGTGCGACTTGGTCAAGCAGCCCCGACGCCTTGTGCATGTTCCGGCACCAGGCGTTGATGGATTGCAGGGCACCAGGCGGATGGTGGATCACAAGGCTGAGTGGTGGCTCAAGCAGCTCGAGGTCGCTGTTGGTTATCAGCAGTGCAGCCTCGAGGATCGTGTCCTTTTCTGCATGCAGCCCGGTGGTCTAGCACTGTGTAAGAAATTAGCATCGGCGCTAGGTGGTTTCCAGAGATGGCACAGACACTTACTTCAAGGTCTACCCAGACAAGTGGGGGCAGCTGCTTACATGCCGGCTGGGTGTTTCTGGGGTGCGTCTGCGGCTTGGCTTTCTATAAACAAAAATGCATGAGTGCCGAAGATTCGTTCTAATATCAACGCGTCAAGTATTCAGGTAGTGCCGTCTGCAATACCTGAGGAAGCCTCCGCGATGATAGCGACAATACCTGGCCCATGTAGAGAGGTTTTATTGTTGCACTTTGAATAAAAACAATATGAGGAAACTTGTATGCAGAAGAGAGAGTGCCTTGATAGCCTTGGGGAGGCTAACGAGTCTTCATTTCCAAAACGAGCATCAGCCGCTCGTGTATGGGTAGGAGCACGGATCCCAGAAGTCCTAGGGCTTGAACAGGTTCTTTTGGTAGTACCGCAGCTCCTCAATGCTCTCCAATATGTCGTCCAAGGCACTACACAGCAATGTAAGATTAGGCGTTGGTGCACATAGCCAAGGTCCCTACCACTCGTTCTACCTGTACACAACTTACCGTGGGCCTCCTTCTTCTTGGGCCGCTTCAAGCAAACCGACGGGTTCCAGCGCTTGCCTAGCTCACCAATCGAGCTCACATCAATAATGCGGTAGTGGAGATACTCGTTCAACTTTGGCATCAGCCTGTAGAGGAATGCACGGTCGGCGTGCACAGAGTTGCCGGCAAGGATGGCAGTGCGTGGGGTTGGGCAGTGGCGCTTGACCAGGGCAAGAACGCGTTCCTCTGCCTCAGCCATTGTGACCTTGGAGTCCAGGACAGCCTGGGTCAGACCGGACTATGTGGTTCAAGTGATTAGTACTTATAGAGATAGCGTAGGCATGTACCCCGCCCTTTCTGTTTCATGCTGGCCTTACCTTGCCGTGGTGCTCAATGCACCATTCGTTCATCGAATCCATGACTGCCTTGGGATGGTGGATGATGATGTCTTCACCCTGCTCCAGGGTACTGAGGTCACCGTCGGTAATGATGCAGGCAATCTCGATAATGGTGTCGTTGTTGTAGTCGAGACCGGTCATCTATCAGGTGACAAAGATATAGTATTATGTGCGCATCTTATTGCGGACATATACAGGCGTGAACACATACCTCGCAGTCGATCCAGACCAGCGGCGGGTTTGCAGCAGACATTGGAGCTAGCTGTTCAAGGGATGCAGTTTCAAGAAAAGTGAGGAGAGCTGGAACAAACTGCCATTACTGACTCCACCCTTTGTTTTCGAGTAGAATCTTTTGCTGGCTACATATGGTTTTGATGCGCATACGAGGAAATGATACAAAAAATTCATTCGAACGGCAAGAAAAGGATAGAAAATGAGAAACGGGTTTGCTTTACTTGGCAAGAGCAGCGGCGACCTTGCTGATGAGGACGTCGAGGATCGACGGGTCCGAGAGGGTGGACAGATCGCCCAGGGTGTCAGCCTCGCCAGCGACGACCTTGCGCAGGATGCGGCGGATGATCTTGCCCGAGCGGGTCTTGGGCAACTCGTCGACCAGGATCAGAGTCTTGGGGGTGGCAATGGGACCGATGCGGTGGCGGACCTCCTTGACCAGCTCAACCTTGACATCGTCGGTGGCTTCGATGCCGTCCTTAAGGGTGACAAAGGCGCAGATGGCCTGGCCAGTGAGCTCATCGGGAGCGCCAACAACAGCCGACTCGGCAACGGCCGGGTGGCAGATGAGGGCAGACTCGACCTCGGCAGTGGACATGCGGTGACCCGAGACGTTGATGACATCGTCGACACGGCCACGGATCCAGTAGTAGCCGTCGGCGTCGCGGCTGGCGCCGTCACCAGCAAAGTAGTAGCCGGGGTACGGGCGCAGGTAGGTCTCGAGGAAGCGCTTGTGGTCCCCAGCGATGGTGCGGGCCATCGAGGGCCAGGGGCGCTTGATGGCAAGAACACCGCTGACGTCGTTGCCCTCGAGCTCCTCGCCGGTCTGCGGGTCCAGGATGGCAAGCTCCACGCCAAAGAACGGGAAGGTGGCCGATCCAGGCTTGGCCGGAGTGGCTCCAGGCAGCGGGGTGATCACATGCGAGCCGGTCTCAGTCTGCCAGTAGGTGTCGACAACGGCGCACTTGCCG